ATATATACATTTTTTTTTTTACATTTCCTGATACAAAAATCATTTCTAAACAACTTGGTTTTTCCCTTTCTAAGATAGCTTCAGTGATTTCTGAGATCTTGTTAATGTCAGGCAGGGTGCAGAAAAAACGTTTGGAGGCAGCTGGCCTTAATTAAAGTTACCCTTTAAAAAATCAGGATATAGTTCAACTCCGAATAAATAGGCCTGTCGATCAATCGGCCAGCCGCATTGTTCATCTCCAAAACCATTGACAACAATGTTACTACTCACAGGGCAACGTTTTAAAAAGTACTTTAAGGCTACTGAACCGTTTCAAACTGCCATTAAAACGTAAAACGTTTTAAACTGGCATTAAAACGTTTTAATGCAAAACCATGGTCAATTGGGGCTAGGGAATTCGCAAAAATGACTTCACTTTTCTCACAAAGTGTGGGAGGGTAGGCCTACGTGCAAAGATGGTATAAAACGATCTTTGGTACGTATAGGTGCAGAGCGTCCATTCATTAATTTACTGTGTCAATGACGTATTCGTGCGCACTGAAAAGCACCAGAACGCACACTAGATGGTCTAAATTTGGATAAATGATGTGAAAGGGTGGGTGTTTAAGATGAAGGATTAGTAAAATTCATCGTAAATGACAATACTAGAAAGTTCTAAGACTAAGAAGAGTAGAAAGAAGAGTGGCTTTGTGGCTTTGCTTCGCTCAAGAGATGGAAGAGGACACAGAATAGTGCACAGAGCCTGCTGCTATCCTTTACTCCTTTGTTACAATCGTGCGCACTTCCCACATCGAGCTTGGTAACAGGCTGGCCAAAATTGTGGAATGCAGTGTGATTTTTTTTTTTTTTTATTAATGAATGAGTGCTAGAAACGTTCAGCCGATGAAAGCTCTGACAGCAATTAAACTGTTGACAAGCAACCTTCTTTATTAGGTAAAATGATTTGTGAAACATTTTTTAAAAACATCTTTAAAATACTTTTTTAAACGTAAAGTTAACACGGAACCCTGTAAATAAATATCAATTAGAGTGCAGCCTCTCTATAACGATATCGTGCAGACCACAGAAAAACAAATGTCTTTATAGAGAGGCGACCCAAAATTACTAATGATCTATAAGGAGAAAAATCGGGACCTCTACTAAAACAAACAAACAAGAGATCTGTCTATACTTTATAGACCCGAGCCTCTCTGTGAACAACGCGTAGATTCATTGTCGTGAAAACGGACGTGGAGCATGTGTTCAGCATGCGAACCTTTACTCCTTTTGAAATGTTCCCTATCCGTACGCCCTGGGGTCATTTTGTACCCCCGGGGTTGTATTCTTCACATTAATTAGAATACTTCTAGATCTAGATCGAAAATCTCTTTGAAACTTCCAGTATTTTTAAAAAATCATTTTGACAGACTGCTATGCAAAGTGTACGGCTCTTTGGAAAGTGGTGGCACAGAGTTCCCCACGTCGTATGGATACGATAGGAAAACACGACGTACGGATAGAGTTAATGATAAATAATAAATAGAGTTTGTATTTCAAGCTGTATGCGCTTTAGAAGTGCTCGCCTCTAGCTCTATGGTCTTTAGACGATAGTATTACCCCAGCAGACCATAGAACACTCAGAAACATTCTCAGCTGCCCAGGAAGCATACAGTGCAAGCAGCAGCTTAAGCTCTCAAACACCCAATGGACTGACAAGATATTTCACTACCTATGGCCTGGTACCCATTGAAGTGACGAAAATCCGTGTAAAGTGCCTTTCCCAAGCACATAACGTCGGGCCCCTGACAGGATTTGAACCCACGACCTTACGGTTGCGAGTTTGAGAGCCTAACCACTTATAGGCCACCGATGTCCGATCTCCTCATGCCTGTGGAAATATTTCAGTATTGCATGAACATGCTAACAGGAACTTGTTGATTAGACCAAGTGACATCTGTTTTCACAGAAATAGAAAGCTAGATCTATGTTATACGAAATATTTTTCTATTGCAGGTCAAATGAGTTCACAACACAATGATTTTTTTAATCGGTTGATTTCCCAACGGCGACTTTGTGTAGAGTTAAACATGAAGAAAGTTGTGTTGTGTCTTTGACTCTCCATTGATTTCTTTCCTTGTTTTACGTCTGCCTCTACAGCATCTGACTTCAGCGGAAGTGGTCAAACTAGAACCGACATGCCTTTCCAACAACGATCTTTAGGCGAGGACTCAACTGACCGTTACGTCCACAGATGGACCGTGAGCCTCCTCTTCTTCCTGTCTCTTGTCACGTGGTTACTAGCTGCCAGCCCATTGGTCATAAGTTTTGGAGAAGGAACGCCGCCTTTCCAAGCAAAGTGCTGGTGCCCCGCTCAGTTTGAGTCCAGCCAAGTGGAATATTCTAACGCCTTCTGTTCTACGTGGTACAGCGACGCCTTCAAGAGAGGGACACTGAGGGGGCTAAGAGATCTTCTTACTAGCTTGGTCTCCTTCAAACCAGAAGACAGCTCTATTCTGGACTATTACGTAACAACAAATGGGTCTGAGACGTTTAATTTGGACAGCAGCGACCAATATTTCGCCTCCGTCACCGCCCCACTAGTTTTGTTCATCTTTGCTCTACTCATCAAGTTACCCCACTTGGTCTGGTACCTCATGTCTACTTTCTGTCCGGTCAACATAGAGAAAACTCTGCACACAGCTGACCACGCCCAGAACCTTCAGACAGACACAAAACGTCAGGTGACCACCGATCTGGTCCAGTCTGTTGACAAAGCTCTCAAGGACTGCCCACATCGAGCCACAGTGTCGTATCTGTTCTACAAGTTCTTCAGCTCCCTTGTCCTAGTTCTGGAGTCCATCGTTCTGAGCACAAGGATACTGCCCCAGGTCTTCGCTGAGACTGGCTCAAGACAACCCATACAGCAACAGTCGGAAGTTTTACCCTGTTATTTCACCATTCGACAATTGTCAAACCATCACGATTACTTTCTGCAATGTCTGTTCTCCCCAACAGACACCAGTCGTCGCTCACAGCTTGGCCATCACGCGTTGTTCACTGGCCTCCTCGTCTATTTCTTAATTCTCACCGTGGTCTCAGTGGTCAGTTTTCTCACTTGGCTGTCCAGACTGACCATGGGGACATGCCGTAGTCAGGTAGCGGCGAGACCATCCCTACCCACCGACGCCTACCTTCTTCTCTACCTCAGCCAAGACAACCTGGGTCCCATGGTGACACGTGACCTGGCTGAGAACGAGGCTTGGACACAGGACTCCGGGCTGGCTGGACCAATAGTGGCCAGTGGTCAGTTTGAGCTGGATGGACAGAAGGACGGAGCTGAAGAAGGCGATCAAGCAGGAGAAGGAGGAGGAGGTGAAGGAGCTGAGGAAAAGATGGACTCGGAAAAGGAAAAAGATGAAAAGAAAGATGACATGACTGTAGATCTTGACAAAGTTGACTTGGCCTAAAGTATTCCGTTTCGTTTTAGTTAGAAAGTTTTAAACAACTGTTTGAAGTGTATTTTATTTCTACAAACGAACAAAAGATAATAATTAGAAAACATTTTTATATTTTCATTGTATTTTTTAATCTATTTGTAACAATTTAGATCGCTCTGGGCACGATTCTCAAAAAGTTTTATTTGCACAGTTTACCTCAATGACACACAAAGGTAACCATTCTGTTGTATTATAAGGAAATGGACTTTGAGACATTCTAAGATCTCTTGTTCTGATCTGTCCAAAAACAACGACCGCTGGGTGGGATAACCTTTTCAACATTGCTCTTAGTCTAGTCACCATCATAGTACAGAAATATCAATTTAAATCAAGAACAAATGAATTGATTTCCTTAATAATACAAAGATCGCTAAAATACACGTATGTTCTGGAGAGATACTAAACCAGTACATGGACATCTACAGCAGTATTTTCTTTTCCTCTCTGTGCACACGATTCTGTGAATCAATCTCGAGGAGACAGACGAAGATTGTGTGCTAAAGAACAATGGTTGAAGAATGACAGTCACAGAATTACTTATAGACGTGGTAGAGGGAAAATGACAGTTTGGGAATGATAGTCACTTAATGACACCTATAGAAGTACAGTTAAATAATCACCGACGTGGACAAAGAATTATAGCGAGGGAGAGGGAGTCCAGTGAGATGATTGAGACACTTAAAAGACACACAAGAAATAGAAAAGATGAGGACATAATACGTTATATCTAATTCTACAAAAAGCTGGACTCTAAGGACAACTTATTTAATTAACCAACAGCTCCCTTGGACTAATGCCTCAAGATCTATTCTTAAGACATTTTTTTTCTGTATCTCCTTTTCAATAAATTTGTTTGTATATTTATAAATGTATATCATATTTTTCATTTGATCAAATAGAACAAACTCGTGTTCCCATTATTTACACTGGTTGAACAATAATAACATTATCTGGAAACAGGCTGCTATCTTTTCCTTTCACTCTCTGTCGTTTGCTCGCTACATGGAATGGCGCGGAGCTTCCTACCACTATTCACCCCTGGCCTTTCACACAGTTCTGGCAATATTTACTACACTGACCCTAGGTCAACACACAGTTCTGGCAATATTTATTACACTGACCCTAGGTCAACACACAGTTCTGGCAATATCTACTACACTGACCCTAGGTCAACACACAGTTCTGGCAATATTTATTACACTGACCTTAGGTCAACACACAGTTCTGGCAATATTTACTACACTGACCCTAGGTCAACACACAGTTCTGGCAATATTTACTACACTGACCCTAGGTCAACACACAGTTCTGGCAATATTTACTACACTGACCCTAGGTCAACACACAGTTCTGGCAATATTTACTACACTGACCTTAGGTCAACACACAGTTCTGGCAATATTTACTACACTGACCCTAGGTCAACACACAATCGGTTCAGAAATCTTGTCCAAAGTAATAATCAACAAAGATGTGCCAGAACGACATGGACAAATCAAAATAGAACTCAATGACTTTCTCGGATAGCACTGTCATAACCTGTCGTTCCTATTACACTTTCAAAGGATCAAACTAGTGGATCTAGATGAGTGCTTCGAAATCGGCAATTTTCTTTACAATATGTGGGTAATGTTGTATGCCTGGCAAAATCATGTGGGAACAAATTCAACAGTATTTCCTTTTGGCCATTCACGATTTTTAACTACTGCACGAGAATTTCAGCATTCACAGTCCTAACTACAATTAATGGCCATTTGGTTTTGTTTTTATAACATTGTATTTTAATTATATTAATATTTAACCAAACATATAAAAATATTTTTCCTTATAACTTTGATACAGTTCATTTCTTTAATCTCAGTATCAGTGTTTTGTTTGGACTGTTATTGTAGTTACCTTCGCTTTTGGTTTACAATATTTCATTTGCTATCATTTCTTCTTTATTAACACATTTATTTATGTTTTGACAACTATAAAATAAACAGCTTAAATATCATATTTCAGTATCCGTATTTCTTCTTTTTCCCCCTTCATGTAATATTGACCCCTGCAGATACATTAGCCATGGTCAGACCCAAGACTGATTCTTCCGTGTGTGGTCAGACATTGATGGACGAACTAATGGTAGATTATTCAGGAGTCTGGCCAGTATTACCTGCCTGTCAGAGCAGATCGGGGCAGGCTGGGCTACATCATGATCACAAACATGCAGAGATGTCCCTTAGAATAATTGTACAACTTCCCTAACCAGGAGTCGAACCCATATCTTCTACATGCCACACTGACGTCTCTAACCACTACATCACAAACGTGGGTGGATTATTTCCCACACCAAGCGTCGCTATTTATAGCGGTCAAGTAGAGAAGTGATGACGTGGCTTCTCTGAAATCATGGCGGATCATGACAAAGTAAAAAACATAACGACCATTTTTTTCTGACCCAAGCAATGTACTGAACATTCTGTAACCTGTTGTGCTCTCTATTCCCTGTCGATGGTAAACAAAACGTATCTTAATTCTTCATTTTGGAACGTTGGGGGCGGAGGGAGGGATAGCACGTACTAAGTAATATATCCACCTTACAAAACTGTTTCTCTTTAGACATTTTCTTCCCTCTTTCTCCAATCTACTTATCGATTTTTTTCTGCCTTCTTCAAAAATCATCTCTTAAAACTATTACCTTTGGAAAATGTTTGCGCGTTTCTCACTTCACCCTTCGCACGTACGCTACTTTTTTCTGTTTCACAATCTTCTTAGTTAATGGAGCCAAATATTTACTGCATTTCATTTCCTCTCCTCTCATTCGCCCTTTGAAATAGAGAGATATATTGGGGGTTTCCACAAAGAAGCCTGAGAAAGAGAATCGACTGTATGAACATGTTATTGTAAATTCTGCACATTTCTCCATAACAAGCTCTTGCCATCATTTTCTAAAGAGTTAAAAGTGTAAGAACTTAGCAAAACTTGGTCTGAAACAATGTTGCAAAATCAACATGGCAGTAATTTTGACATTGAATCAACATACCAGGGTATGGTTGTGACATCACACAGAAGTGTTGACATGAAATCAACGCAAACAATTCTGGGAGAACCCAGCCAGAGGTCCGAAGATAATGATTTCGCCATATTCAGTTTCCAACACGCTGACTTTGAGAAGATTTAAACAAGAATAAAGCTGTGTGGGTTTTTTTCAACTCTCCATTGATTTCTGTCCTTGTTTTACGTCTGCCTCTACAGCATCTGACTTCAGCGGAAGTGGTCAAACTAGAACCGACATGCCTTTCCTACAACGATCTTTGGGCGAGGACTCAACTGACCGTTACGTCCACACATGGACTGTGAGCCTCCTCTTCTTCCTGTCTCTTGTCACGTGGTTACTAGCTGCCAGCCCATTGGTCATAAGCTCTGGAGAAGAAACGCCGACTTTCCAAGCAAAGTGCTGGTGCCCCGCCCAGTTTGAGTCCAGCCATGTGGAGTATGCCAACAGCGTCTGCTCTAAGTGGTACACTGAGGCCTTCCAAAGAGGGACGTTGGGAGAGAACCTCTGGAACCCATACAGCCGTGGGCTGGTGAGAATGTCTGAAGTGGACGAGGACGTAGCCAATGTGTCCTCCACGCCCGCCCCCAACACCAACCACCGACATTTCGCCTCCGTCACCGCCCCACTTCTTCTGTTTGTCTTTGCTCTACTCATCAAGTTACCCCACTTGGTCTGGTACCTCATGTCTACTTTCTGTCCGGTCAACATAAAGAAAACTCTGCACACAGCTGACCACGCCCAGAACCTTCAGACAGACACAAAACGTCAGGTGACCACCGATCTGGTCCAGTCTGTTGACAAAGCTCTCAAGGACTGCCCACATCGAGCCACTGTGTCGTATCTGTTCTACAAGTTCTTCAGCTCCCTTGTCCTAGTTCTGGAGTCCATCGTTCTGAGTACAAGGATACTGCCCCAGGTCTTCGCTGAGACTGGCTCAAGACAACCAACACAGCAACAGTCGGAAATTTTACCCTGTTTTTACCCGATTCGACAAATGCAAAATGTCCATCACTACACCTTGCAATGTCTGTTCTCCCCAACACACACCAGTCGTCGCTCACAGCTTGGCCATCACGCGTTGTTCACTGGCCTCCTCGTCTATCTCTTGATTCTCACCGTGGTCTCAGTGGTCAGTTTTCTCACTTGGCTGTCCAGACTGACCATGGGGACATGCCGTAGTCAGGTAGCGGCGAGACCATCCCTACCCACCGACGCCTACCTTCTTCTCTACCTCAGCCAAGACAACCTGGGTCCCCTGGTGACACGTGACCTGGCTGAGAACGAGGCTTGGACACAGGACTCCGGGCTGGCTGGATCAATAGTGGCCAGTGGTCAGTTTGAGCTGAATGGACAGAAGGACGGAGCTGAAGGAGAAGATCAAGCAGGAGAAGGAGGAGGAGATGAAGGAGCTGAGGAAAAGATGGACTCGGAAAAGGAAAAAGATGAAAAGAAAGATGACATGACTGTTGACCTTGACAAAGTTGACTTGGTCTAATATGGTGTAAAGTCGCTAAAGTGTCGCATTAGCCGTCGGTTCCTTAATGTTGGAAAGGAAATATTGCGTTTCGTTTTAGTAAGCTCTAAAGAATTACTAGAAACGTATTTAATTTCCACAAACGTACAAAAGATAACTTTACAAAATATTTTCATCTTTTCGTTGCATCTTTAACCTAATCGTAACAACTTGGATCGTTCGGGGCACGATTCTCAAAACCTTCAATTTACACAGATCATATCCTCATCTAGCTAATAGACAAAGAACGTTGAACCGTTCTGTTGTATTATAAGGAAAAGAAGTTAGACATTCTAAGATCCCTTTTTTCTGAACTGTCCAGAACAACGACCGCTGGGTGGGATAACCTTTTCAACAGTGCTCTTAGTCTAGTCACCATCATAGTACAAAGAGATCAATTTAAATCAAGAACAAATTAATTGGTTTCCTTAATTATACAAAGGTCGCTAAAATACACGTATGTTCTGGAGAGATACTAAACCAGTACATGGACATCTACAGCAGTATTTTCTTTTCCTCTCTGTGCACACGATTCTGTGAATCAATCTCAAGGAGACAGACAAAGATTGTGTGCTAAAGAACAATGGTTGAAGAATAACAGTCACAGAATTACTTATTGACTTGGTAGAGGGGAAATGACAGTTTGGGAATGATAGTCACTTAATGACACCTATAGAAGTACAGTTAAATAATCACCGACGTGGACAAAGAATTATAGCGAGGGAGAGGGAGTCCAGTGAGATGATTGAGACACTTAAAAGACACACAAGAAATAGAAAACACGAGGACATAATATGTTATATCTAATTGTACAAAAAGCTGGACTCTAAGGACAACTTATTTAATTAACCAACAGCTCCCTTGGACTAATGCCTCAAGATCTATTCTTAAGACATTTTTTTTCTGTATCTCCTTTTCAATAAATTTGTTTGTATATTTATAAATGTATATCATTTTTTTTTTTTTATCAAATAGAACAAACTCGTGTTCCCATTATTCACACTGGTTGAACAATAATAACATTATCTGGAGACAGGCTGCTATCTTTTCCTTTCACTCTCTGCCGTTTGCTCGCTACATGGAATGGCGCGGAGCTTACTACCACTATTCGCCCCTGGCCGTTCATACAGTTCTGGCAATATTTACTACACTGACCCTAGGTCAACACACAGTTCTGGCAATATTTACTACACTGACCCTAGGTCAACACACAGTTCTGGCAATATTTACAACACTGACCCTAGGTCAACACACAGTTCTGGCAATATTTACAACACTGACCCTAGGTCAACACACAGTTCTGGCAATATTTACTACACTGACCCTAGGTCAACACACAGTTCTGGCAATATTTACTACACTGACCCTAGGTCAACACACAATAGGTTCAGAAATCTTGTCCAAAGTAATAATCAACAAAGATGTGTCAACATTACGAAAGCCATTACTTCCTTTCCAGAACGACATGGACAAATCAAAATAGAACTCAATGACTTTCTCGGATAGCACTGTCATAACCTGTCGTTCCTATTACACTTTCAAAGGATCAAACTGGTAGATCTAGATGAGTGCTTCGAAATCGGCAGTTTTCTTTACAATTTGTGGGTAATATCGTATACCTGACAAAATCATGTGGGAACAAATTCATCAGTATTTACTTTTGACCATTCATGATTCTTTATTACTGCACGAGAATGTCAGCATTCACAGTCCTAACTACAATTAGTGGCCATTTGTTTTTGAATTTTATAACCTTGTTGATTATATGAATATTTAACCAAAGTATAGAAATATTTTTCCTCATAACTTTCATACAGTTCATTTCTTTAATCCCAGTACCAGTGTTTTGTTTGGACTGTCATTGTAGTTACCTTCGCTTTTAGTTTGAAATATTTCATTTACCATCATTTCTTCCATATATAATGATTGCATATTTATTCATAATATTTTGACAATTATAAAATAAACAGTTTAAACCTCATATTTCAGTATCCGTATTTCTTCTTTTTCCCACTTCATGTAATATTGACCCCTGCAGATACATTAGCCATGGTCAGACCCAAGACTGATTCTTCCGTGTGTGGTCAGACATTGATGGACGAACTAATGGTAGATTATTCAGGAGTCTGGCCAGTTTTACCTGCCTGTCAGAGCAGATCGGGGCAGGCTGGGCTACATCATGATCACAAACATGCAGAGATGTCCCTTAGAATAATTTTACAACTTCCCTAACCAGGAGTCGAACCCATATCTTCTACGCGCCGCACTGACGTCTCTAACCACTACACCACAAACGTGGGTGGATTATTTCCCACACCAAGCGTCGCTATTTATAGCCGTCAAGTAGAGAAGTGATGACGTGGCTTCTCTGAAATCATGGTGGATCTTGACAAGGCAAAAAATTCAGAAACAGATTTTTTCCGAACCCCCTATCGATGATAAACAAATTTATTTTAATTCTTCATCTAGTATGTTAGGGGTGGTGGGAAGAAATGCTCGTAATAGGTAATATTTACCTTAAAAGTCTGTTCCTCATTAGAACTTCTGTTCGCTTTTCCCTACCTACTCATCAATTTGTTTCTGCCTTCTCAAAACATAATCTCTTACAACCATTCCCTTTGAAGAATGTTTACGCGTTTCTCATTTCACGCTTCGCACGTACGCTACTTTTTTTCTGTTTTACAATCTTCTCAGTTAATGGAACCAAATATTTACTGCATTTCATTTCCACTCCTTTCGATTGCCCCTTGAAATAGAGAGATGTGTTTGCGGTTTTCACAAAGACTGTGAGAAACAAAATCGACTGTATGAACATGTTACTGTAAATTCTGCACATTTCTCCATAACGCGCTCTTGCCATCATTTTTCAAGTTAAAAGTGTAAGAACTTTTTAAAAATCCTTGTCTGAAACATTGCTGTAAAACCTACATGGCAGTAATTTTAACATTGAATCAACATACCAGGGTATGGTTGTGACATCACACAGAAGTGTTGACATGAAATCAACGCACACAATTCTGGGAGAACCCAGCCAGAGGTCCGAAGATAATGATTTCGCCATATTCAGTTTCCAACACGTTGACTTTGAGAAGATTTAAACAAGAAGAAAGCTGTGTGGGGTTTTTTTCAACTCTCCATTGATTTATGACCTTGTTCTACGTCTGCCTTTACAGCATCTGACTTCAGCGGAAGTGGTCAAACTAGAACCGACATGCCTTTCCTACAACGATCTTTGGGCGAGGACTCAACTGACCGTTACGTCCACACATGGACCGTGAGCCTCCTCTTCTTCCTGTCTCTTGTCACGTGGTTACTAGCTGCCAGCCCATTGGTCATAAGCTCTGGAGAAGGAACGCCGACTTTCCAAGCAAAGTGCTGGTGCCCCGCCCAGTTTGAGTCCAGCCAAGTGGAGTATGCCAACAGCGTCTGCTCTAAGTGGTACACTGAGGCCTTCCAAAGAGGGACGTTGGAAGAGAACCTTTGGAACCCGTACGGCCGTGGGCTGGTGACAATGCCTGAAGTGGACGAGGACGTAGCCAATGTGTCCTCCACGCCCGCCCCCAACACCAACCACCGACATTTCGCCTCCGTCACCGCCCCACTTCTTCTGTTTGTCTTTGCTCTACTCATCAAGTTACCCCACTTGGTCTGGTACCTCATGTCTACTTTCTGTCCGGTCAACATAGAGAAAACTCTGCACACAGCTGACCACGCCCAGAACCTTCAGACGGACACAAAACGTCATCTAACCACTGATCTGGTCCAGTCTGTTGACAAAGCTCTCAAAGACTGCCCACATCGAGCCACAGTGTCGTATCTGTTCTACAAGTTCTTCAGCTCCCTTGTCCTAGTTCTGGAGTCCATCGTTCTGAGTACAAGGATACTGCCCCAGGTCTTCGCTGAGACTGGCTCAGGACAACCCATACAGCAACAGTCGGAAATTTTACCCTGTTTTTTCCCGATTCGAGCACTTACAAATGTCCACCAGTACACCTTGCCATGTCTGTTCTCCCCAACATACACCAGTCATCGCTCACAGTTTGGCCATCACGCGTTGTTCACTGGCCTCCTCGTCTATCTCTTGATTCTCACCGTGGTCTCAGTGGTCAGTTTTCTCACCTGGCTGTCCAGACTGACCATGGGGACATGCCGTAGTCAGGTAGCGGCGAGACCATCCCTACCCACCGACGCCTACCTTCTTCTCTACCTCAGCCAAGACAACCTGGGTCCCATGGTGACACGTGACCTGGCTGAGAACGAGGCTTGGACACAGGACTCCGGGCTGGCTGGACCAATAGTGGCCTGTGGTAAGTTTGAGCTGGATGGACAGTAGGGCGGAGCTGAAGGAGGCGATCAAGCAGGAGAAGGAGGAGGAGATGAAGGAGCTGAGGAAAAGATGGACTTGGAAAAGGAAAAAAATGAAAAGAAAGATGACATGACTGTAGATCTTGACAAAGTTGACTTGGTCTAAAGTATTCCGTTTCGTTTTAGAAAGTTTTAAACAACTGTTTGAAGAGTATTTTATTTCTACAAACGAACAAAAGATAATAATTAGAAAACATTTTTATATTTTCATTGTATTTTTTAAACCTTTTGTAACAACTTAGATCTTTCAGGGCACGATTCTCAAAAAGTTTTATTTGCAGTTTACCTCAATGACACACAAAGGTAACCATTCTGTTGTATTACAGTGGAATCCTGTTATAACGAGAGGGAAGGGACCGGTGCGATGTCCGTTATAGCAGGATTCTCGTTACAAGGGATCCAGTAATAAATTCAAGGGAAATAGTAAAGTAGATCTCATCTATGAGTTTGGCGTTCTGTTTATTCCTTTTTGTATTTCCCCTGATGATGATTTGTTCAACATGATCTGTAGGTCTTACTTGATAAAAAAATCGAATTAGGTTTCTTTCTCTATCACTAGCAATGCTGACAGCTCGGCCTTGGCGATCAGAAAGAAGGGGCTCTGGCTCTAGGCTAACTCGCCCGCTGTGTTGTCCCCCATCCCACCACACCCTGTGGTGCGTTGCGTCTGCTTGCGCACGTCACACATTCACTCCATCTATCACAGCATTGTGACCTCTCCATCCCGCACCAGAGAAGTGATAGGCACGGTATGCCTAGATAATCTAGAATGGGCAGGCCTATCACCTGATGCGTTCTGCTTGTCTGCGCATGACACTCCCTCCCTACTCATTCGCTTCGGCCTTCACTGTTGGTTCGCGTGGGCTCTCCCATTCTTAATTTCGCTGGATCACCAACTTTCTCAACTGGTAAGGTTTTATAATATGTAATTGGTCTGTGCGCTGTGCACAGCAGCAGCAATATTCCGTTAAAACCGACTCGCGTGACGGTCTGATTGCGCTATAGCAGTATTTTATTTACAAAGATAAAGAACGAGAACAAACGGGGTTTTAGAACAGTGTCCTTATAACAGACTTCTCGTTGTTTCAGGACTCGTTATAAGTGGACTCCACTGTATAAGGAAATGGACTTTGAGACATTCTAAGATCTCTTTTTCTGATCTGTTCAAAACAACAACGGCTGGATGGGATAACATTTTCAACATTGCTCTTAGTCTAGTCACCATCATAGTACAAGGAAATCAATTTAAATCAAGAACAAAAGAATTGGTTTCCTTAATAATACAAAGATTGCTAAAATACATGTATGTTCTGGAGAGATACTAAACCAGTGCATGGACATCTACTGCAGTATTTTCTTTTCCTCTCTGT